GTTAAATACTAGTATTAATTATTAATTATTTTTAATATAGATATAGAATAAGACAGTGCTCGAAATTAGTTGTCCTTTTCGGCTCGATTTCGAAGGCGACGCCTACAGTTCCCCCACTACCATTCGAGACTTGACGGCCGAACCGCCGTAGCCTTATGCTTCCGGAACGTCTTATATTAAAAATGCACCGTTTCCGCCAAAAGAAATTAAATCAATTTCTTTATTAAATTATTTTTATTTTTATAAACATTAAATTTCTTTTTAACATATTTTATGTGTTTTATAATATTTAATGATAATAAATACGTTTATAATAAAATTAGATTATTATTACATTTTTTATTTTATTATTATTAATAAATAGAATAATAAAAATTTTAATAATAGGTTTCCGCATTACCCATGAAATATTATTGTTGACGCGTTTTCTTTTTAGTGGTTTCCCCAATAAGCCTATTCCATTAAAAAATAAGAAATCAAATATATGCCTTGGCAGGAAAATAAAATTCTTTTGTAAAATATTATTCTATTGTAAAATATGATATATAAAGAATTAAAAAAACGAAAGGAAGAACAATTTAAAAATATTAATTTGATTTTTTGGGTCGTTTACCCGATTCTACTAGAGATGATATATCCACAGAAATTTTAGAAGAACTTCGCATCAACGAGGATAGTGAGGCACAAGAAAAGAAAAATTTCTTTGAACGATGCATTTTTGCTGATGCAAACTAATTTTTCCAAAATTTCTATTGGTATATCATCTCTACTAAAATCATGCTTCCAACGTAAAAAATGAAATTAATTTCTATCAAACAAACAAAAATTATACCGATCATATTTACACAATCACAAAAATTATACCGATTCTTATCATATATTTGATTCTTTTCAATAAAATAAGAAACTATTAAGTACGGAAATTACTAAGAAACCACTTTAAAAAAATACGTCAATAATATCTTACGAGTAATGTGGAAACCTATTGTAAAACTTAATTATTCTAATTATTATGTAATAATTTTATTATAAACATATTTATTATCATTAAATATTATAAAACACATAAAATATGTTAAAAAGAAAATTTAATGGTTGTAAAAATAAAAATAATTTAATAAAGAAATTGATTTAATAATAGTTTAACGAAAACGGTTCATTTTTAATATTATACATTCTTATTGCGTCTATATGAATAACGACGATGATGACAATGATGGTAATAGTAATTATTTCATACAAGAGTATTTAATTATTTATATGTAAATTTTATTATAATCAGAAAGCAATTAAAATTAATAACATTAAATTAAAATTAAACTTATAAAGATATTAATATTTCTTTATAGAGATTTTTCAAATTATTACAAGAATTACTTAAAAACTTTATTTATAAAAAACAGATACAGATATAATTAAATAAATAATTTTTTGAACATCTACAGTAACAAAATAAATAACGAATAATAAATAATTACAAATACGAACAAATTTTTAATAAAAAAATATATATATATACGCGACAGGATTTGAACACGCGATCTACGTACAAAGCTAACGCCTTATCGCCTGCGCTATTCTTGCTCAAGAGTGATAATTAAACATAGAAAGCACTCCACCCGTATATCGATCGACTAAACTCATTTTTTAAAAATCAATTTCTTTGAAACTATGAGCCATTGGCGAGAACAGCCATACACTGTTTTTTTTTCGCTCAAGAACTGCTTGTATAAAGCGCATCAAAATACCTCGATCAGTCACCTGGTGTTTCTCTTGTTAGAGCGAGATTTATTAACGAGTGGACTACCATATACATTATCAACCGTATAATCACTCGTGTCGAGTCTTTTAATATCACGTTTCATGATATACGTCGTCGCACTTGATGTGATAAATTAAACTTACTGTTGGTATCCGTGTACATTACTTTACATTTCT